GGTCATGCTGGAGACTCAGACTTGTGGGGGGAGGGGGGGAAATGGGCATTTATTGAAACCTTAAAATCTGTACCCCCATAATATGCTGAAATAAAAAAAATAAATAAATAAAACAGAAAAAAAAAAAGAAACTCTTACATACATACCACAAGAGACATGTTCCTAACAGTAATGTCAAATGTCAAAAACGTGATACAACCTAAATGTCCACTAATGTTAGAAGGGATGAATAAATTGTGGTGTATTCTACTTCCTTGAGGGGGGGAGTAACTGCATAAATTATTTGGAAGTCTCCATGAGCGATTTGTTTATTCTTCCTTCATTTATTTATTTGTTCATCTATTTATATTTGCATGGGCTCCTGGATATTTGTTTAATGCTTTGACATTTTTTTGTTCCTCAAATTTTTTCTGCTTTGGCCACTGGGTGCTCTTTAAGTTTGCTCCCTTTGACATAATCCCATCATTGTGGGATTTTTTGTTCATTTGTTTTGAGTAGCTTCTTACTTCCTGACTATAAGATACTCTCTGCTAATCTTGCATTATTTTCTGCAGCAGTCTGGCAGTCCGAGAATCATTGATTATTCTGAGGAGTCCTGATACCTTTTATTGGAGAATGGTGTTAGAGATCAAGATCTGGGCACTGGTGTGCTCATTGTTATGGGGGCTTCATTGCTTCTGGGCTCACTCAGCTGGGAGAGCAAAAATATTTGCATATATACTAACCTGTGTATATACATATCTATAAATATTTCTATATACAACCATCTGTGCTCATAATAAGCTAAACGTGAGTTTGTGCTGAGGTCTCCAACTCTAGTACTTTACTACATAGACCATTCTAGCCTCCTCCCCTTGCTTATCAGGAACTTGTTGCTCCAATAGTCAGAAACCTGGCTCTCACAGTCCTCCACTCATTCACTTCAATTCCGGTACACATGTGTAGCAAAATCAGAATTCCCAGCCCATGTTCCCATGGAAAGAAACTTTATCAACTGAAGAGCTTATAAACAGGAATTTTTTTTTGTCATTATTCCTCATCCCTTTCAATGAGGTTGATTCATATATTGAATCAATATTCTATCAATATTGTATATTCAATACAGTTAGATTGTTTTTATCATATTCTGCATTCCATGCTGGTATTCTCCCAACCTTTTAAATGATTTCTTAGAAATTTGCATACATTAAGAACTTTGTGCTATAAAGTTCTATGGGTTTTGGCAAATGCACAATGTCATGTATTCATCATCATAAAATCCTACAGAATGATTTCACCACCCTAAAAAAAGTTCTCTGTACTCACATATCCAACTCTCTCCCTGCCCTTAAACTCTTGTCAGCCACTGGTAATCTTTGTAGCATCTTTCTAGTCTCGCCTTTTCCTGAATGTCATATGATTGGAATCATGTAGCAGTAGCTTTTTCAGACTGGCTCCTTTCATTTGGCAATACAGGTTTAAGATTCATCCATATCTTTTTGTGACTTAATGGCTCATTTATTTTTATCACTAAGTAATAATCAGTTTTATGGGTGTGCCACAATTTGTTTATCCATTCACTTATCAAAGGTCATCTTGGTTGTCTTTTGGTGATTATGAACAAAGACACACATGCAGGTTTCATGTCATCACTAATTTTTAAATTGACTAGGTAAATCCCTAGTAGCATGATTACTGGATTGTATTATAAAACTATGTTCAGTTTTATAAAAAAAAATGTCAAATTGCCTTCCCCAGTGGCTGTGCCATTTTGCATTCCCCTTAGCAATGAATGAGAGTTCTCATTGCTCTGGGTCTTCAATGCTATTTGGTACTGTCAGATTTAAAATTTTAGCTGTTCAAATAGGTGCATAGTTTTGTTTCAATGTGCAATTTCCTAGCTGCAAGCAATGCTGAGTGTCTTTTCATATGCTTATTTGCCATCTGTATATTTTCTTTGGCGATGTAGCTGTTCAGATCTTTTGCCCATTTTTAATTGGGTTGTTTGTTTACTTATTGTTGGGTTTAAAATTCTTTGTACATTTTAGATACAAGGCCTGTATCAGATATATGTTTTGTATGTATCTCCTAATTTGGGACTTGTATTTTTAGTTTCTTAGTAGTACTTTTCATAGAAAGGAAGATTTTAATTTTAATAAATTCCAACATCAATATTTTTATCTTATGAATTGTGTGATACATCTAAAAATGTATCACCAAACCTAGGTTCACATATATTTTTCTCCTTTGTTTTCTTCTACAAGTTTCATAGTTTTGTGTTTTATATTTACATCTATAATCTATTTTCAGCTAATTTTTGTGAAAGATGGCAAGTCTGTTTAGGTTCATTGTTTAACATATGAATGTCATAGCACCATTTTTTGAAAACCGTCCTTTCTCCATTGAATTGTCTTTGCTTCTTTGTCAAAGATCAGTGTGGGCCTATTTCTGAGTTTTCTTTTTTTTTTTTTTTTTTGCTGTCAATAAGAAATTTACTTGTTTTAAAAAAATCCAAATGCTGGCATTGTCCAGAAAAATTTAACAGGTTTATTTATAATTGTTATAAAGTTGAACTGCTGAAACTTGTTCACTGAAACATTTGACTTGCATTAATGCTTCACATCCTGCATTTATATTAAAAAGTCACACACAAATGAAAATGGAAAAACTGCCAATACCTGATTTCTGTCCCCTATTTTTCCACTTGAAATCATATACTTAGGTACCTTTTGACCCCATGGGGAAAAAAAAAATCTAACGTTCAGAACTACCAATAACAGGAAGAAGAGAATCTTTTTTTTTGAGAATGAAATGTTTTCCCATCATAGTGGATTCTTAAGCACGTTCTCCACGTATGCGGCGTGCTAGCTGGATGTCTTTTGGCATAATTGTTACACGTTTGGCATGGATAGCACACAGATTGGTGTCTTCAAGAAGGCCAACCAGATAGGCCTCACTTGCCTCCATTTTACCTGGAAAGCACCAATAGCTGCGCTCTGGAAGCGCAAATCTGTTTTGAAGTCCTGAGCAATTTCTCGCACCAGACGCTGGAAAGGAAGTTTGCGAATCAGAAGTTCAGTGGACTTCCGATAACGTCTAATTTCACGGAGTGCCACTGTACCAGGCCTGTAGCGATGAGGTTTCTTCACCCCTCCAGTAGAGGGCGCACTCTTGC